GTTGTCGCCGATCCCGCTGGTGAGGAAGGAAGGCGCTAGGAACACTGCGGGGGCCCATCTGAACCTGACGCAGGCCAGGGGGCTGGTGGTCCAAAAGGTCCGCCTGCTTGCATCTGTTGAGGAACTCGTTCGAATGAAGCCGCTGCACCTTCGCGAACGGTACGTGACCTTTTTGCTGCCTTGATCTGGGGCTGCTTCTGCATGAGTTTCTCCATCTTGTCCAATTCTTCAGGCGTGAGTGCATTGTCAATGCTGCGCTTCTTGAGGGTATCGAGCTCCATTCTGGCTCATCATGTGTGGCCTCACTAGGAGCATCATACATAGCATCATCATCAACCTGAGCTTGAAAGGCCTTGACCTGCTGCCAGCACTCATAGCGCTGGTGGTGCTGGGTGCACCAGGCGCGGAGTGCAGCCTCATCCATACTCTGGCGGTTGGCAGGAACAGGAGGCACTTGCCCAGGCTCGCGACCAGCAGGTGCATCTCGATCGCCACCGCCAGCAGGAGCAGCAGCGTGGACAGGAACAGCACGAACACCTGCACCCGCTGGTTCTGGTTGCCTAGCCTGAGCACGGGCAGCTTCAGCAGCTGCATCTCGTTGAGCACGGACAGCCACTTCTCGCTCAGCTTGTTCGTCGGCCAAGATCTGCTTACGATACTCCACTGGGTCGAAATAATCCATCTCATCATACGCGGCACGGTGAGCAGCTGCGGCTTGCTCGAGCTGGCCGACCGCCTCCGCATGCAAAGCTTCAGCCTTAGCCAAAGCCTCCTTGTGCCGAACCACTGCAGCCAGCTTCTGCTCGACATCGTACAGAGCCAGCCGCTCAGCTTTCGAATCACGCTCAACGGCCATGGCAAGGGCAGTGCGACGCTTCGCCACCTTCTTATCCAGGTCGTTGTCTGACGAGGCGGGTACATCAGGCGGCGGAGGTGGTACAACGCCGCCAACACCGCGTAGAGCTTCAGCACGTTCAGGGAAAAAGGGCAGCAAACCGCTCGAGTTCAGCATCGAACGAAACTCCATCTCCTTTTGTCTTTAGACTTGCCACGACCATAGCCATGACCTTCATCAGTACCACGTACGCCACCGTCAGAAATAACATACTACTCGCCTTGACATTTAGAACAACAGGAATGGCCGTGATACACATATTCCCAATGCCCGCACTTCGAGCACACACGGTACGGTTTGTGCTGGCCTTTGGAAACACGACCTCCATTGCGGCGAGGTTGCTGCTTGACCCAGGGTGCATAATACCAGGCCATCTCCCGCGCAGAAAAGGAAATAGCGGATTGCTCCAGCAGGAGCTCACAAAAAACGGAATGGTTCCAGGCTCGGCCAGAGCCAGGTGCGAGAAAGACTGAAAGAAGCCTGCTGCAGGCGCAACAACTCGGGCCTGCCCCTCGGCAGCAGACAAGTACGAAACCGCAGGGCGACGGTTTCGTACTTGAGCCAAAATGGCTACGGGGAGGAGGAGGAGGAGGAGGAGGAGGAGGAGGAGGAGGAGGAGGAGGAGGAGGAGGAGGAGGAGGAGGAGGAGGAGGAGGAGGAGGAGGAGAGCAGGAGGATGAGGATGAGGAGGAGCAGGAGGAGGAGCAGGAGGAGGAGGAGGAGGAGCAGGAGGAGGAGGAGAGGAGGAGGCGGCCCTCTTGGGAGCCTCTGGGGGCCCTCCTGCCCCGTTCCGCCCGCGGCCGGGCCGCCAGCGTGCGCGGCGCGCGCCAGGCTCTCGCGCGAGCACTGCAAGACTCTTGTCGTCCGCATCGCCTCGCTCCCTCCCTCCAGGCCATCTCCCTCCTCCTCCTCCTCCTCCTCCTCCCGCCTCCTCCTCCTCCTCCTGGAGCGCCGTGTAGCCCTCGCACGCAGCCGCACCCCGCCCCGCCGACATCGCCGGCCTGCCCGCCCCGCCGCGCACCGCTCAGCAGCGGCCCGCGACGCGCCGTTCGCGCCGCTCTGCCTCCGCTGCCGGGCACCGCTGGCCCGGCCCACAGCCCGGAGGGACATGCCCCCAAGCCAAGGACCGACCACAACGACGTGTTTCAACCGACATGGCGTTTCGAACGAAAAGCGAAAGGAAGCCCAACGTGTAGAACAAACGCTCACAACGAAGCTGGCGCCAAACGAAACGAGCAACGAAACGAGGCGCTGATGAGCCAAAACGAACACCGAGACGAAACCAGGGCGAAGCGCGACGCGCACTTGACACAACACAAAGGTCCACACCAAGCCGAATAGCGTTGCGGACCGTCCTTGGGCCCAGCCCGGCGCCCCGTGGGTCATGCCACCTGGCCAAGGACCGACCACAACGATGCTTCAATCGAGAGGGCGCTTCCAACGAAATGGCCGCGCACCGCCCAGCCGCCGCTCGCGCCGCCGCTCGCACCGTTGCGCCTCCACTGCTGGGCGCCGCTGGCCCAGCCCAGCGCCCGGAGGGACATGCCCCCCATCGTCCACCCCCCCCATCCACGCGGAACTATGCTTCGGTGGCGACTCCTGGGAGCCTCCCCTACCACCTTGTCGGCTCTTGCGGATCGACGCCGATCAACGCTATAACGACGCTGATCGCCGCTAGATCGACGCCAGTCGACGCTAACCGAAGCTAATCGGCGCTGTCTCATCGATCGACTCCAGGTGCTAATCTACGCTAGTCGACGCTGAAGACGCAATTCAGCGGGTATACCAGACTCCCGTGATTTGCCACCGAACTATGCGCGCCCCAAAAGGCGTTTCAAACGCAATGGCGCTTAAAACGAAGTCGACGTCGGGGGGCAGTGCTCGCCGTGCATGGGCGGCCCCCGGCAGCTTGGCCGATTCTTTCTGGTCGGGCCTGGCCCGTACCGCAGCAAGGGATCTCAACAAAAAGGCCCCACCCCTCCGTCGTGTGGACACGGGGAGGGAAACGTGTGAGGGGTGTGCCGAGCTTGGACGGGGCGCGGCATGCGAACCATGCCGCTGGGGACTTCGGCCGAGCTCCCTCTGGGGCCACGAAGCGCGAAGCGTGTGAGGGGCGTGGCCAAAGTGGAGGGAAGTGGGCGGCATGCGCACCATACCTCTGGGGGGCCTTCGGTGGAGCTCCCTAATGGGGGGGGGAGGGGAGATGGCCCCCAAAGCCCCCAGGCCAGGTCGGGTCAGAGCCGAGATGGCCCCCCGGGCTCCCTTGGCCAGGTCGGGCCTCCCAGGCCAGGTCGGGGAGACGGGCGGGACCAATTCAAACGAGACGGCCCCTCGGCCAGGTCCGGCCGGGTCCGGCCCGTGCGCCCACGGGGGGCGGCCACGCAGGGGCACAGGCGGGAAGAGCCACAGACAGCACGGCGCTGGGCGGGGCAGAGCGCTCCGGGCTCTCCGCTCGTTCTGCGCTGCTCCTTCGGGGATGCGGTCAACCCGCATAGTAAGGATGCGCGATGGGGGCGCAGGGGCCTCGGAAGGCCATGCCGACACCCTGCGAGCGGGGCGCAGTCAGCGAAAGCGGCCAAGGAGGGGTCGAAGGGGAAGGATGCAAGGGGAACCTTGGAAAGTTGCTCGTCCTCGCTGTGCGGGCTAACAGTTCTAAAGTTCGGGTATCCAGGGGGATAGTGCACATTTTGTGCCCGCATCTCTGTCTTTGGCCGGAGAGTGTCAACTCCCGGGGGTTACGGATGGGGGGGGGGTATGGTCGGACCTGGGAAAGAACACCCTATAGGCCCTCCGCCGGCCGAAACACCCCGAACGTGGAGATCCTTCGAGGGTGCCCCCCCCCCCAGGATGCACACACACGAGCACCCACCAAAAAGCATGAGGGCACCCTCCCCGAACCCACTTCGATCCTGCACCTCGGTCCGATCGTCGACGTCATCATTCACTCCAGGGCGTGGGGCTATCCTCCTCCCTCCGCTTGCGCTCCTGGGGGCCGCGCGCCCGGGGCGCCAGCGTCTTTGGGGGCCGCGCATGCGGGGTCTTCGGCCCCCTCGATCGCCCCCCAGACCCAGACAGCCGGCGTCATGATTTTTGTCACGACGTCGACCTCCAGAGGTCTGGACCCATGCTAAGCCATTTTTGACCCCCCCTCCCACTTGCCATCGCTCGGACGTCCATTCCCTCTGCATTTTTCGGTTTCGTGCGTGTGTTTGTTTGCTCGATGATCCAGGATGCTCCTCCAGGGTCCTCCCCGAGAAAAAAATGCACACGTCCGAGCGATGCCAGGCCCCAAGGCCCGGTAGAAGGGCCCCCAGAGGACGAAAAACGCGAAAAGCCTCCCGTCGTGACCTTTTTCGCAACGCGAGGGGGCCTGGGGAATGGCGTTTCGAGCGCAATGGCGTTGAAAACGAAGTCGAAGTCGGGGGGCGCGCTTGCTGTACCAGGGCGGCCCCCCCTCCGTCCATGTGCGAAACAACGCGCCCTCGCGGTATTGCAGGGGCCTTGGGACACACAAATAAATACACACAAATAATAGGATTCCCCATGTTTTCCCATATGTTCTGGGTTCTTGTCTCCCCCCCAACTCCCCATATTTTCACATATTTTCGGGGGAATCGACTATCCTTTGTGTCCGTGTGTTTTGTCCCTCCTGGTCCATGCGAAACCACGCGCGAGCTCGCGGTGCGCGGGCGGCTGGAACCAACCGCGGCCCAGGCCAGGGAGCGCGCGCCAGGCCGCGCGACACTGCCCAGGGGATGGGGCGAGGAGGAGGAGGAGGAGGAGGAGGAGGAGGAGGAGGAGGAGGAGGAGCAGGGAGGAGGAGGAGGAGGGAGGAGAGGAGGAGGAGGAGGGGGTCACGCGCAAACCAGGCGGCGACTGACAAGAGGCCTACTCCTCCTCCTCCTCCTCCTCCTCCTCCTCCTCCTCTCCTTTCGTCTCTTTTTTCCGTTATCCTCTCTCCTCTCCTCTCCTCTGCTCTCCTCTCGTCTCCTCTCCTCTCCTCTCTTCTCCTCTCCTCCTCCTCCTCCTTCTCCTCCTCCTCCTCCTCCTCCGCCTCCTCGAGCTCCTCACTCCCTCTTCCCCCTCGGCCGCGGCGGGCGGTCACCGTCGCGTTCGTAATCGAGAGCCGCTTCGCGATCTGGCCCGCCGAATGGAGGAGCATCTGGCTTCGGGTCCTGGCGACGCGGAGCAGGAGGGGGCGGGAGAGGGGGACAAGCTGGGGGGGCTCGCGTCAGCTCTGACGTCCTACCCCTCCCTCCCATTCCTTACCATGGCGAAGATCTCCTCTTGACTCGCACAGTCGGATGTCGAACAGGGCAGTGATCGCGAGAGGGTGCGCGATGCATGGTAGAGCACGGCATGGCACGGCGTAGAAGAATATGGCAGAGCGTAGCATGTCATAGCATGGCGTGGCATAGGGCAGTGAAGCATTGCATCGTAAAGCGCTGCAGCGCAAAACATGGCATCGCACAGCGGCGCAAAACACAACACCGCACAGAATGCCATGGCATGGCGCCGGGCTCCTTGGAGGGTAAGTGGATCGTCTTCGAGAGGTCTGGGTTGGTCTGGAGTCGTGGCTGCATGTCTAGCTCCTTGGGCTCCCCGAAAAACTCCACACAAAGCGGGGCTCTGATGGAGAGCACCCGCTGGCTCTGCTTTCAACATCTCATTCACAAAGCAGAAACGGGGCTCCCGCTTGAAAGTTCCTGAAAGCGACGACGCCCCAAATTGGTGGGGGGGGCTTCTGCGGCCCGGCCCCAAAAAAACAACGAATCGGCACCGAATGTGTAGGGGGGGGCATGTTCTAGATTTTGGTCCCTGTTTGGAAGGACCAGAACGGCCCGCGCTGCAGCGGGAGCACGATTTGAAATAACCAGAGGCGCAAAAATGGGTCCAGCGCTTCAGCGGGAACAACATTTTGCAAACAAACTAAGCGAAAATCCGTAACCTGGGAATCCAAAGTAAAAAACTGTACGCTGAGGGGGGCCGGTCATCTTCCGGACGTCACCAGGCGAGAGAGGAGAGTAGTAGTTATGTTGTGCAATTGTAAAGGAGGGTGAGGATGAGGAAGAGGAGGAGGAGGAGCAGGAGGAGGAGCAGGAGGAGGAGAAGGAGGAGGAGGAGGCGGAGGAGGAGGAGGAGAAGGACGAGGAGGAGGAGGAGGAGGAGGAGGAGAAGGAGGAGGAGGAGAAGAACGAGGAGGAGGAGGAGGAGAAGAGGAGGAGGAGGAGGAGGCGGTGGGAGAGGAGGAGGAGGATGAGGATGAGAAGAAGGAGAAGGAGGAGACGGAGGAGGAGGAGGAGCAGGAAAAGGAGGAGGAGGAGGAGGAGGAGGAACAGGAGGAGAACGAGGCGGAGAAAGAGGAGGAGGAGGAGAAGGAAAAGGAGAGACGGAGGAGGAAGAGGAGGAGGAGGAGAAGAGGAGGAGAAATAGGAGGAGGCGGAGGAGGAGAAGGAGGAGGAGGAGAAGGAGGAGGAGCATAAGGATAAGGATAAGGATCTGGGTGATGATGATGATGATGATGATGATGATGATGATGATGAGGGTGAGGAGGAGGAGGAGGAGGAGGAGGAGGAGGAGGAGGAGGAGGTGAAGGACATACCGCTGCGAGCTTTGCGCTCAGAGTCTGGCCCACGCAGGGTGTAGACTATGACTATGACTAGCTCATGGAATCCCTCTTCAGCTTAGCCTTGACGCAACAAAAAAATCAGCAAAGCTTGGATTCTGAGGGGCGAAACCTTAATCCCGCCGATTTTAAAAGTGAGAGCCGTGCACACGCCGCGGCATTGGCACCCACATCGGAGGGGGAAGGAAACCAAGGTGGAGCCACCAGGGCCAGAACCACCTTGCTAGCCCCCCACGCCTCGATCAGGCACCACTGCCTGGCGCACCGCCCCGTGAGGAGCCCCCCCCCCGCCCAGAAGCATGTGGCCCCGAGGGGGGCCTCCGATGGGGGCTGAGACCTACTTTTCCCACTGAAGCCCCTACCGCGCCCACGAGGCGCCTGTCGAGGGAGAGTTAACGTCGGAACAGAAAAAGGACGGGGAGGGGGTCTCGGCGGGAGATGGCCAGCAGCCTGTAAGGCCTTAAATCCCTCGCTCTGACGCCAGTCGAATCCCGTTGGACTCGCATAAGAAGTCTGAGCCGCGGGCGTCACTGACTCGGGGACCGAGTCCCTCACTGAGAAAATGCTCTGGCCCACGATACCCAACATCTCCTCGGTTGTCGGCCTGACTCCCCGCTGTACTTGGGCCCGTCGTCGAGGAAGCACTCACATCTCGCCGACCATCCTCGAGAGCTGGCGGTGCAACGAACCTGGAGGGGCTGCGCCTGACCTGCGGATCGCCTTCATGTCCTCCATCGCCTCCGCCAGCAGCGTCGACAGCTTTGGGCCGTTCGTGTGGGAGAGCTCCACCGCGTACATGATCATCCCTTTGTCGGTGCCCCTTACCTCCGCCTGCGTGTCGTCGCTGCTGCTCTTGCCCTTGCCCTTGCTCCTGTGCTGCTTCCAACGGAAGTAGGGTGCCAGGGCAGCCGCCTGCTGGGGGGTGGAACGCATGATCACGTCCTTCCACAGACTCACGAAGCCCTCCGTCAGCTCCTGCTTGGTAAGGTTGCCCTGCCTGCCCCACCACTTCACCGACGCTGCGAAATTCACCGCGTGCATCGGCCCCCTGCTCGCGTAGACCTGCTCCCCGTTGTTTTTTGACGTTCTCGCGCAGGGCGGTGGACTCTTGCTGCTCGGACAGGCCCGTCGCCTCTTGCTGCTCGGACAGGCCGCCCTTCTCCGTTTCGAACTTTTTTTTAACCCGGCGTCGGCCAACTCTTGGATCTCTCGGGAATCCGCTAACACGAGGCGCCCCATCGTCTTCACTGTCTCCCTCAAGCCCTCCAGGGCCATACTGCTGCCGACGCCGACGGGCCGACTGGGGGCAGGTCGCTGAGGTAGCACCGTGCGTGGCAGATGCTGAACCAGATGGCTACAGAGATGATCCAGGTCGGCATGTTCAACCCCGCAAACTCTGCACGCGAGGCTATCAGGGGGAGCCAGAGGGTGGAACTTCCGAGCCCCATCAGGTCGACAAAAAACCCGAACCAGCGAGCGAGCAAGATGACGTCCAGCCACCACTCGAGAGCTGAGAACCGTACGGCAAACCGCGCACACATTAGAAGGATACATAATGTGCCCAGCATTACGGACGTGATGTTTAGCACGAAGATGGTTAAGTAGATCACGTTTCGTACGAAAGACCAGATCGCACCTCCTACCGTCGTCCTCCACCCACTCACACTGCCATTCCCGCAGGACCTCGGGGACTGGTGGAGGAACCTCTTGTGGGGGCTGGTAGCCTGGCGGAGGAACTTGTACTCGGACCTGGGCCGGACGAATAACCGAGAAATCTATCTTGACGAAGTCGGGGGCCACCTCAGGGTCCACGAACCTGCAGGGGAACTCGGAGAGCTCTCCCATCACCATGGCCCCCCCGCCCAAGATCTTCCAAACTTCCTGAAAATCCTTCTGGAGACGACGAGCCCATGGAGACGCGTGCTTTGTCAGTCGATCAGCGACCACAGGACTGTGACGAGCAAACTCCAGTGCGGGCAAACGACCGAACAGTGCACACAGGAGCTGCTGATGACTGTCAGGAAAACGTGCCATCTGCTGGTGCCAGCTCAGGCGCCGCACGAGCAGCTCTTTTGCACTCGGCGCCAGCTTCCAGTACTGAAGCACCTGAGCATTCGACCATGTCGTCGTATGTGCGCCCTCGTGCGAAGTACCCCGTCCCTGCAATGGCGCACGACGCAGACGAGCAAGATGAGCGTCCAGATCCTTATGCTGTTGGGGGCCGCCATCATCGCCTCCAGCCCACTTAGTAAAGCATTCTGGACGAGCCCAATAAGGATAGCGCGAGTCCATCTCCAGGGGCACTTGAGGGACCAGAAACCTCCCATGGATTAGAACCCTGACGACGCCGCTTCTTTACGACGAGCAACTTCTGGCCCCGTAGCCCCCGAGAGAGAGAGAGAGAGAGAGAGAGAGAGAGAGAGAGAGAGAGAGAGATGGGGCCCCAGGTACCGCGTATATTCACGCAGCTCGCCTCCAAGCATGGGAACGGCGTGGTTGCGAAGCCAACGTTTGACCTTGATGCCTCCTGGTCCCGAGACGTGACACAGCGAAACCTGTTTGCTTCGGTTGGCCCCGAATCCCACCTCCTCCAACTCCTCCTCCAGAATCTCATCCGACATACGCATCCACTTCAGAAGCTCCGAGATCCTCTGGAAACGGGCAGCCACCATGAAATTCCAGATGTCATCTGCATATTTGAAGAGGCTCAGGTTGGCCCGCATTTCCTTCCATTCTGCTATGAGCGCCCGTGACGTACTGTGGGCCTCCCGATACTTCCAGGAAGAAATTGGCCTGCTAAGCATGCCCCTGAACAGCGTGACCACAAAGGGGTCCCCCATGGTGCCTCCTTCTCCAGGCTGGATCCACAGAGGGGGTCCTTCCGACGTGGGCAAGCAGATGCGTGACTCATGATATCTTTGCTGCGCGAGCGGCACGTCCAGCTCGTTGGCGACGTGCAAGTCTACCGTAGCATCCAGCTCAGAGTGGGAGCCCGACGCGAGCGCGTTGCTCATGTCCTTGAGGCTGGCCGAGAACGCGTGGTACGAATGCCGCAAGCGCCGCGCCACCACCTGAGCTGCCATGATCGCTCCTTCTCGTCGCCGATGTTTGATGAAGCCGTAGTCACCCACGTCCGCTGGCACCTTCAGCACATCTGCGTAGCAGCACTTCCCCATGGGGTCGAGAACATGCACCACCCGCTTGCCCTTGACGCCTGGTGCGCCACCCTTCCGCAGCCCGACCGCGGTGCTGTGATGCCAGTGGCTGGGGGTCCGTGAAGCTCGGCGTATCATACGAAAACCACCCAGCATCGCCTCCGTGAAGCTCGCCATGTCAGGAATACCTGCATCAGTCCCAACACCCCATCGTCCCCGTACATATATCTTATCGGGGTGGAAACAGAACCGCCGCAACTCCACAGGAGGGGAGCGATCAGGTACTGCCCGGCGACGTCCTGCCCGTTGCACCGCCCACGAGGCCCGCCTGATGTCCGCTCGAGCACGTTCCTCCATCTCCACGGTCAGGTCAGGCAGCGCGTCCGTCGACTCG